CAATATTACTTGTTTGCCTAGGACTAATCATCTCACCAGATGAAGAGGATATTTAAAAGGACTGACTTGCTGGGTTTCCTTAGACCTGATTCTTTTCAGTCGAAGTCTTTATTTCTGCAGCAATTAGAAAAACAAATAAAGTTCTATAAATGAAAAACTATGGTTTTATGAAATTAAAGCAGAAAGGAAAAGAAAAAAATACCTGCAGATGGCTGGCCACATGCGCCTTAGTAAGATGCTTCTCAGCCTTCATCAATTGAAGAATTTTTCTAGGTACAACCTCTGCAATCAAAAGAACATACAAATGTGTCAAACTTCATTAACAATAATGCCATGACATCTACTCCAGTGCACTACAGATTAGGAAGAGTATTTGAGAAAGCATTCAAAATAATGTTGAACAAAAAAATACAGCAATTGGAAAAATACAGCAAACATATACTTTTGCAATACAAAAAAAAAACCCAGAGTTTTCACAGGAATGGAAAAAGGCATCATTGTTCCATTTTTGGCAGCGAATGGAAGACACAGTTGGGACCAATTGGGCAGCTTCCAGCTCTCATGAGACCAAATTAATCATGATCGAATTAAGGAAAATTTGAATTTTGATTTGTTCAGTTTTCGAGAGATGCCAAATAAGTATATTAGCTTACTCCAAGGAAAGGATTACTGAAATAGAGGAATACATGGGCAGTGGATTTGTTTGTTATTTGGAAATGCACACTGGTATTAACAACGGAGAAGCCATTTTTTATTTTGGTGCAGATTCCAATATTATGACAGAAATTATATATCCAAGTGGGGCTGAGACAGATGTTCGAAGAATTATGGTTGGATTCTGGGCAGTGGATGTGAAGACACTTGTGGAAATAAAGTTTGCAAAGAGAGGTGATGGAACTAGTTTTCACATTGTAATATTATTAGGATTTGATTGCTATTTCTACACAAAAATATAATAAAAGTATTGCTAAAATAAAGCAGAAACATCAATTGATTGACCAATTGTAGCAATTAATAACAATTAAGATAACAACTACTTTGCATTGTAGAGAAAGAGTGAATAACTTACTGTCAACACCCAAGTCATTAACAGCGGCCACAAAACACCGACCGATGTAGATCTTCGGTCCAAACAACCCGAGACTGCTTTTGGGTTGATCGGTCCTCTTGGTTAAGACCTTTCTCAAGTTCTTCATGAACTTCATCCTCATCTTCTTCCATCCTCTCAGCTTTTTCATCATCTTTATCCTCATCTTCTTCCATCTTCTCAGCTTCATCCTCATCTTCATCTTCTTCCATCTTCTCAGTTTCATCCTCATTTTCATCCTCATCTTCTTCCATCTTCTCAGCTTTTTCATCATCTTCATCTTCTTCCATCCCCTCAGCTTCGTCCTCATCATCTTCCATCTTTTCAGCTTTTTCATCATCTTCAACATAAAGAAAAACCAACATGTTATCATTCCAATCGAAACCAACATCTAAATATTGCGAAAAAAAAACAAAAGAAAGAAAGAAAGAACCATTAATATTTAAAAAATAAATAAAATGGAAAACCCACATATCTAAATATATCCAATGTTAGTTTTGTTAAATAAAACACCAACTGAAAAAACTAACAAACTCAACTAAACTGTAACATCCCGTCTAACTAAAACCTTATTTAAAGTACGATTAGGAAGGTGTAGGACATTTATTTTAGAATTATGCTCATGTATATGCTAGGACAAGATTATATTAAATTATGGAACCAATTTATATTCCAATGGAAAGTAAATATTTAATTTTAAATATGAGACATCTTAGTCATGAGTGTATATTTAATCCCGTAGCAATTGTATATTTTTTTTTTTTTTTTGATAACATTAAGGGGCGAAGCCCCAAACAAAAACAAACTAACAACCAGAAACAAAAAATAACTATCCAGGGTCTATATCCCTACAAGAGGAGATTCCCTGAAGATCGTGATCAAATAACTGAGCAAGGTGAAACGGCATAACTCTATGACTCCAGAATCCAGTATCTTTGTGAAGAGCAGACTTGGCTAACCAATCAGCACAGGAATTAGCTTCTCTTGGAATATGAGAAAGCGTTACCTCCCAATCCTGACCGATGAGTGCTTGTATCTTAGCCACTATACGAGGCTGACAAGCTGCATTGCAATCAGCAAGCAAAGAGAATACTTCAGAAGCATCTCCTTCTAGTTCCACCTTCTTAAATCCCAGTTGCCAAACCAATTCCAGACCTTTTAGAGTTCCCCAAAGCTCCGCCATTAAAGGAGTGCAAGCACCAATATGATACTCAAAGCCTCCCAACCAAGAGCCATCATCAGATCTGATAATCCCACCACAAGCAGCCACCTCAGTATTCCTTTCAACTGCCCCATCAATATTAATCTTCACCCAATTTAACCTTGGAGGTTTCCATAAACTCATACGAGTTGGATGAATGCTAGTAGTAGCCATAGCCTTCCTACCCATGCAGTTACGAACTTCCTCTATATACATAGCAATTATGTGCGTTCCATGGGTTGGATGCTTGAAGTTAGTATCATGGACACTTTTGTTCCTCCATCCCCAAATGAACCAACAAGAGATAAAAAAGACATCACGCCAATCATCTGAATTACTTTGATTCCAAGCTTTTGAGATATTATTTTCAACCCAATCTCTAAGATCCAAGCTGTAGAATAAGCTTTGCCGATTAGCTGAAACCAGAGAATTCCAAACACTTCTAGCATGCTTACAATCTCTTAGAACATGGAGGTTTGTTTCCAACTCACCAGGACATATTTTACAATGACCAGATTCCCCACTCCATCTAGATGTGCGGTCTTTAGTAAGAAGGCGGCCATGCATTATGATCCACATACAAGATTTAACACGTTGAGGCCCATGCCATTTCCATATGGTAGTCCAAGAATTTTTCAACGGCATGAGAGGGAAACCAAGCATGTTATAATACGCGGTTTTAACTAAAGAGCAGCCAACCTTTTGATTTCTCCAAATAATGCGGTCATTTCCATCCGATGCGCTAGGAATGAGAGCAGCTTGGATCCTTGCAACAGCTTGATCATTGAGATATTGACGAATATAGGGAAAGTTCCATTGACCAGTATTGCTGTTCACGAAGGCACTAACAGGGAGATTCAACTCCAAACCAGTTGGAGTACGAGTAGCCAGAGAGGCAAGACACTCAGTTAAACCCAACCAATTGTCTGTCCAAAATAATGCATCATTACCGTCTCCAATCTCCCATTGCATTGCTTGAAGAAAAGATGGCCAAACACTACACAGATTTTTCCAGAAGTATGAGTCATATGCTTTATGATTTACTTCCCTCCGAAGATCCAAACCTCTCTTATATTTACTTGTTACAACTCGAACCCACAACGAATCGGGCGAAGTAAGTATCGTCCATGCAAGCTTGTGAAAGAAAGCCATATTTTGGACACGAAGGTTAATCACCCCTAAGCCACCCATGCTCTTAGGCTTGCAAATATTATCCCATGCAACCAGATGAGATCTCCGTTGACCATTTTTATCACCCCAAATAAAGGCACGCTGCAACTTCTCTATTTCATCACAAATGGCTACAGGAAGCAGACTGTGTTGCATTTGAAATATAGGAGTTGCTGAAATAACGGAGTTGGAAAGTGTAATTCGACCGGCAAAAGATAAGACCTGGTTACTCCAACCAGATAACTTGTGCCTAATTCTTGCAACAACATCAGCATAATGGTCTTTGGTTACTCGACCATGTTTCATCATTGACCCAAGATATCTCCCTATATTGTGAGTTTGCTTGAAGCCACACACATTTGTGATATCATCTGCAATGTGAGCATCTGTATTTTTCGAGAAAAAAATACTAGATTTCGGAATACTAACCTTTAGGCCAGACATTGAACTAAAAGTCTCCAAGCAATCCACTATAACTTTGATTTGATCTAGAGAAGCTTCTGCAAACAACATCAAATCATCAGCAAACATCAGATGGGCTATCTTAGGACCTTTTGATCCCACGGAGATTGGCTTCCATCTCTTATTGTCAACCGCATCTTGAATGAGATGAGACAATTTTTCCATGGCTAGAACAAAAATGTAGGGAGATAAAGGATCACCCTGACGAACTCCTCTTGAAGGAAGGAAATCACCTGCAATGGCTCCATTCCAAAGCACTGAGACCTTATCAGAGTTGATACAATTCATTATAATATTTGTGAACCAGTGTGGGATTTGAATTTCATCCAAAATTTTACGAACAAACTCCCAATTTAACATATCATAAGCCTTTTCCAAGTCGATTTTAATTGCCATGAAACATTTTCTTCCTCTCATTCTACGCATTGAATGGATCAGCTCTTGGGTGATGATGATGTTGTCCTGGATATGTCGTTTAGGAACAAAACTAGCTTGGAAGGGAGACACCATCTCTTCCATTAGGGGCTTCATTCTGTTAACCAGAATTTTACTGAGGATTTTATAAATGACATTGCACAAAGAGATTGGTCTGAGCTGCTTAGCACTTTCAGGTCTCTTTACTTTTGGAATGAGGACCACAAGAGTCGAGTTCACAAGGTGAATCAGATTGGGATTCTGAAACATCATGTTAACATCCTTAATAACATTAGTCTTAATAAGACTCCAATTCTTATGAAAAAAGGCAGCTGGAAAACCATCTTCCCCTGGAGCTTTTGACCCATTGATACTAAAAACAGCTTTTGAAATTTCGTCATCCGAAAGATTACGAGTCAGATTAGATAGCAGATCATCGTGCAGAAGGGGCCAAGTAGTCTTTGATTTCACCCAATCACGATTAAGGACTTCCTCACTAAACAAGTTGCTATAGAAATCTGTTACCAATTGATGAAGTTGTCTAGCTTCCTTCACCCAAATCCCATCAGAATTTTTTAACTCAAGAATCCTATTCGAACTTCTTCGAGTAGCTGTTTTAATGTGATAGAATTTGGTGTTTCTATCCCCATCATTTATCCATTTCACCCTGGCTTTTTGAAACCATAAGATCTCTTCTTGTATGAGAACCGCATCAAGGTCCTTCCTAACCTCCTTTTCTCTAGATTGGAGAGATAAGTTGGTATGATAATCAACATGATTCTGAATTTCTGCAATACTATGCAATAGGTTAGTCTTCCTATTGAAAATGTTGCCAAAGACTATCTTGTTCCATCTTTTTAAATTTGGAGTCAGATCATGCAGATTCGTTCTAGTGTCTTTCACAACATTCCAGCTCCTAGCCAGAAACTGAGTAAAGTTATAATGCTCCATCCAAGCAATCTCAAAGCGAAAGGGACGATTTTTCCAACCTGTGTCCAAGTTAGACAAGTAGACCAAAATGGGACTATGATCAGAATAAATCCGTGGAAGTACCTTAACGCCAGCATCAGTAAAGGTAGTCTTCCAACTTGCATTAGCACAGGCTCGGTCCAGCCTCTTAAAAACACGATCAAGATGAAGAAACTTCGGACCCTTCCATGTAAACCAAGGACCTGATCCTCCAAGATCCAGCAGCTTGCAATTATGAAGAACATTTGCAAAATTGGAACATCTGTTTAAGTTAACTCTACAGCCACCTTTCTTCTCATCCCGATTTGCTATTTCATTAAAATCCCCAGCCACCAACCACGGCCCATTACAATGGAGACTAATGTTTAGCAGATCATCCCATAGCTCCTTTCTATTTTCTTCCCTAGGACTCGCATAAACTGCCGTGCAAGAAAAGGAAGGAACATGAAAATTCTGAACTTTAAAATGAACAAACTGTTTTGTGTGATTAACAATTTCAACGAGACCAGTCTCATCATTCCAGAGGATCCAAATACCCCCTGAGTAACCTTCTGCCTCTTGAACAAAAGCATGCTTAAACCCAGATTTTCGGATAATGTCAGCAGCTTTTTGACCACTACACCGAGGTTCTAGAATCACTACAATACTAGGCTTATATTTCCTAGTAAACAGAAAAAGCGATTTTTGAAACTGGGGTTTCACTGCTCCCCTACAGTTCCAGAAGAATAAATTCATTAAAAACTATGTTGAACGCAAGACTCCAAGGTTCTTGCATCCTTCATTCTTGAAATATCTTCCTGGTGAACTCTGTCCACCTCCATGCACGTAGAGATGGTTAAGGTTTCAGGATTTTGGATGTCGCTGCTGTTGTCAACTGATATATCAGGACCAGTTTTATGAAATGTGTCATATAACTGCTCTTGATTCTGGTTCAAAGTGCTATCTGCTTTCATCCCATTTTCCTGATCATGTTGATTTGCTTGCATATGACTAACCGCCATGGGAGTAGCAATTGATGGAGATGGTGGAACGGGAGTATGATCTTCACGATTTTCACTCTGGACTGAACACCTCTTACCCGTGCTTGAAGAATAAGCCGCATGCATAGTAGGAACCGTTGATTTAGTCCTAGGGGTATCTTTGGACTTTTTGGATTTAGTCCATATTTTCTGAGGAATTTCAAACTGAGGGGCCCCCATATGAGGAGTAACAGAATTAATTATTTGATTATGATCCTCCTCATTAATAGGTCCAGCTGTTAAGATTGCAAACCGTGATTGCGTAATTTCCTCCTTATCACCATGATTATCTCCATGATTATCGCTGGTCATAACTCCCTTATTACCATGATTACCATGATTATCGCTGGTCATAACTCCCTTATTACCATGATTACCATGATTATCGCTGGTCATAACTCTCTTATCACCATGATTATCTCCATGATTATCGCTGGTCATAACTCCCTTATCATTATTCCTTTGTAACTTTTTTGAACCAGCGCCTGGCTGGACTGCACCGGCCGTCTGAGGAGGTTGCCGGCTCCTGCGTTGACGGTTAACAACCATCCAAGGTCCCAATCCTTTGCTTCGATGGAATTCTGAGTTGCCAGGTTCCTCTTGATGAATTTGATCGTCATTATGAATATCGGATGAACTGCGTTGCTTTGGAGCAGCTGAACAATTCTCGGTGCTATGTCCATATTTCCCACAACCAAAACAAATGAGCCCTAATCCTTCATACTCAATTTGTTTGGTAAATCCTTCCAGCACATAATCACCCTTTAATGGCTGAGATAGGTCCAGTTCCACACATATTCTTGCAAACCGTCCTCTTACATGAGCATTTGTATTGCTGTCTACCTTGATCATCTTGCCTAACCAGTTTCCAATCCTTCTAAAAAAAGCTTCATCATAGAATTCAATGGGAATATCCGGTAGACGAATCCAAGCAGCAATCTTAGCAATTCCAGCACTATTAGGTCTGAAAGTTGGTTCCCACTTCCTCAACGATAAATAATGACCCAAAACAATCCATGGACCACCGTTCAACGCAAAATTGAGATCATCCTTCTCACTAAACTGGACTACGAAAAAGTCATTACCAATATCAGTGACATTGATTTTGCCTTTTCTAGCCCATAAGACATTTATTTTTTTCTTCATAAACTCCACCCCAATTTTCTTCCCAAGGAGTTTAACAATCAGAGCTTTCTCCCAAGGTTTCCTCATTCTCTTCCTTGCTCTTTTGGTGCAACTAAAATAAGTACGCCCATCATCTTCCTCCCACATCTTAATTCCTCCATGGTTGACATCCTCTTCCTCAGCAGGTTCCTCCCCATCTAAGTCTTCCTCGGCAGACGCCTCTCCTTCCCATTCATCATCTTCTCCATTATGACGCATCAGAATTTCCCTCCAGGTTGAACGTTGGCCATTCTCATCTTCCATCCAACCTTCATGTCTAGGTATCATAGATACATCATTTGAAAACTGATCTCCCTCACCTTTATTCCTCTTATTACTTCTTTGAAGAATGTCAAGTTCTTCACTTGATTTGCCAGGATTCTTCCCATGATCACCTTTCTCTCTCTCACTCATCGCTCACCAATCTTAATTTCCGTAGAAATTTTTTTTTTTTTTTTTTTTTTTTTGCAATTGTATATTTCATCTTAGTCATTATGAATCACTAAGTGAAGAAGAGTGTGATTGATTTGATTCGTAAAATACAAATAAAAATACCTCAACTAAATTAAATAATTGAACTAAGAATATGTAGGCTAGTGCATGAAACAACCAGTGAACAACTAGGACATTAGTTTTGGAATCCAATTGCCTACTAGGGCCACGACCCAAGAGTCCAAGAGAAAGGCTTATTTCAGCCCAATATAAATCTTGCATACACTTATCCATTAGCTTATCTAGAAGAGAAATCTGAATGCTACTTTCCATTGGGTAATAAGCTACACACACTCATCATTCCATTTTCTAGTCATGCGCATGGAGAGAACCAAAAGCTAGCTAATTGCTTGTAGCCTTAGACAACCTTTAGTCAGATTTTCTATAGCATTCGTCCAATGAGAAGAACGGGGTCAACATGCATGTGTTCCTATTGGTTAAAAGTGAGATCAGTTACTTTAATCTCTCATTTTCTATGCATATGGATAGGAAGAAAAATTCTGATCAGATGCTTTATGCATTCAAACTTAATCTGTCACAAGCCACCCATCCATGTTTCTTCCATAACGTGTGCGCATAAGTATATGATAGAATTCTGTTTTGTTTGCAATTGTTAATAGTAAGTCAGCCATTGCCTCCTCACTCAGCCAATACAAGCAAATAAGAAACTTGAATTGTGTCATATTGATTTAGCACTCAAGCTCTTTCTCCCTCCATCTCTTGTGCGCACTCTAGAAGGAAGAGAGCAGACTATTCTTTGCAAAATAAAACCCAACACCTCTCTTCTTCCTTCATCTTTCAAGGCCGTAAATGCAAGGAACCCAAAGAGAAAAGAAAAATATTGCAACTCAGCCCCTTTTCCCTTGAGACCATGAACTCCTTAGATACAAAGCAAAGCATCTGAACCTATTTTCTCATTTCCCTGACCGAAAACATACTTGGGAAAGAAAACCAAGATATTGTACCTCATCCCCATTTCCTTCAAGTTGTGAACTACTGGTGTAAGGAGTAAAATGCCTATGCCTATGCAATAATCTGGAACTTTGGAACTTAGGAAGCTGGCTGTGTGCTCTTCGCTTGGTGACCGCTGTACATTGATTAAATTGGGAGCTGTAGGTGTGTGCAAGAGGTAAGAACCGAATCATTAACCCTCTCCTTGTCACCACTGTTCGATCTCTCTGCTTGACCTAGGAAGAATTTTATGTTAGTATTTTTCTTCCTTAATTCTCCTCCTTTGCTTTTCCCATGCGGTCTTATATTCCTGTTAGGAGATTGTTTTAATTCTGCCGTTCTATTTTCCTTAAGTTCCATCATTTAGAACAGCTCTAGAAATGCAACTAATGTAAGCTTTAAACTGAATGCTATGAACAGCCATGAAGTAAGCATATGAAAATTGAAATGGATTCCGTTATGAGTTGAAAAATGGCCCTTGTTTTGCGCTATTGAACTGCCCCTTGGGTTAGGAAATTTATTAGGTCTCTCTTGTGTTTGGAGGGACGAAATTAGTATGCTTAAGGCTTAATTGTTCAAGCCTAAGAAAAATAAATAAATAAATTCTGTTTTAAAGTCCTTCTTCAAATGCGGTATAAATTGTAAAACCCTCATTATATATATACACCATGATAAATAGGTTCTTCTTTGCGCACTCCGTGAGTAGAGAAGCAGGAAATTGATGAATAAAGTCTTGAATAATTTGTGTCAAAACCGGTTCTGTTTTGAGTAAGCCATTGAGACTTATTCGTGGTTAATCATTCGTGAAAATTAAATTAATGGCAGAATGCTATTAGGAAAGAAACCATGATAGGAACCAATTGGGTATTTGTGCTGTATAAAATTTATAAACTTAGGTGAAATCAGGAACTTAAAACCGAATATGAGTAGATTGTGAACCTTGGATTTCTTCACTGTTTGCTTGGGGGTAAACCGAATTGGAACCTGAAATTTTGTAAGAAAAGAACCATGATGGCCGAATGGGGTACATGAGCCTTAAAGTTTGGAGGCTTGTTGGTAAATTTCTAGGAATGGCTTGGGACGCATTCTGATTTATTGCACTTGTATATTAGGTACGCAAAACCCTGAGACTTGGATTATTTTGCTGCTGCCTGGTAAATTAACTGTGACGTGTGAGGTAAGTGTCTGGTGGCATTACCTTCTGTGACTGCTAGCTAGTACATGGATTGTGAACGTTGCTCTCATGATTTGGATTCGAATTATGTATATGTTATTCACATGCTATTATGGAATATGATATGCTGGATATTCTGTTTTGAAAAGTAAATATATTCAGCAACTTGATATTGGAAATCCATGGTGTATATGCCATTCTGATTATTATCTAGTCATGCATACGCATTCATGATTTTTTTACTGTATGTTGTGTGTGATTCATGACATAGCATACATGCATAATTTTCATGTTGGCATCTGAAAATAATTATGTAAACTAAGCATACGTTTGAGCACGCATCATGTAGGCATCCCTACGGTACCAGGGTATGGGACACTTGGCTTCAGTCCGCTTAGGTACAGTTGGAGGCCTTCTGAGGAGCCACCCAGGTTACTCCACTGTTTTGTTTAGTACGCGCACGATGGTGCGATCCCGTACTTCTGGCGTTATATACGCAATATGATATTATGTTAGTGATACGTGCACCGTAGTGCTATGAACGTACACTTCTGGCGTTATATACGCACTATGATTATGATTAGTAATTGTCGGATTTGAACTGATGATGCGACTGTTTTGTAATTCTGTATTTAGTTAGTACTGTTGCATTACTGGTTTTGTTGCCACACTACTGGGATTTTTCTCACCCCTTTGGGGCTGCTATTTTACAAAATGGCAGGAGGACGGAAGAGCATATGAAGTCATTATTACATGGATTTTTGCTGTTATGTGCTGCTGTTTGAACTATTGATGTTGTTGTCTATTTGATGGATGACTGTATTAAATTGAGTAGTTGGATTACTGTTGGATTATGATTTTACTACTGTTTTAAGATTTTTATTATCAGTATGTATTTTGGAAACAAATTTTAGAAACGTTTTGTGAAAATATCTTTGACGTTTTATTAAGTATTGGTTTTTAAACAGTCTCGCGAGCACTTTGCGAGTTACGTTACAAAGGGCAAACGAACTCCGATTTCCTATTATTTTATATGCACGCGAAGCCCCACGTGTCTAGTTTTTGATTATATAAACATTACAAAAGAATTGTGAAAGCTTGATTTTATACGAATTTTTGAATACAGCAAGGTTTGCCAGGAAATTAATGTTTTCAGCAAGTTAATGAAATTAGAAAGTATACTCTGATTTTTGTAAGCAACCTGATTTCAATCATACTTTTTAATTAGCAACATTAAAATGGTTTTTCAGTAGTTAAAATGACGTCAAAAACTCTAATTCCGCTTAGCAAACAAACTCTCTTGGGTGCACACAAGGGAGGGTGTTACACTAATTGGTATCAGAGCAGTTTTGATTCAAGGTGTTTGAGAATGATGAAAGATTTTTGGTTGATATGTCAGTGTTGTTATTTGATTGTATGAATTCTTGTATGAGCTCGCTGCTTTTCTGATTTTTGAAATTAAATGTGAAGTGTCCCTAGTTGAAATTATTCTATGTTGGAGGTGTGATAATGCTAGTAGTACCGGTATTAAGCATGGATATGCCCATCTTCTTGCTTGGTAGTGAGCCTGATCAACTCACGGCCGCGAAAGGAGTATGTGCACACTCATGGTTATTACGGGGAGTACTAGTGCTTGAGCACTATGTGTGTAAGTAAGAACTGTTCCCTGAATTATTGATTAAATATAAATTATGTTTTCTTATGGATGATATGTATGGATTATATGTTTGAAGTTGTGGTGAATATTTTGGGATGGTTGAAAATTTTGAATGATAATAAGTCCCTTTAATTAAGGATTGTCATTGCAAGTGTCCATTCTGATTTATGAATTACCTAGGTGTTGTAATCTTTGAAGTTATGAAGGATAATAAGCCGTTTGGACTTGGATATGACCTTAATTGTCGAATTTGGATTTGTCATGATTATTGCTTTAACAATTCAATTAGGATGATTATTGATACAAACTGATTCTTTGGTACATATATAATCATTACGTGCTTGTTGTAGTACCTAGTTGGGATGATAGAAATTGTTGGCTGAATTCAGATTTATTATGGTTTATGTTTTAACAATTCGGTTATGATGATTTTGTTGCATAATTGTTTCTTAATTTATATCCTCACATGTATATCGTAGCATAGAGTTAGGATGAAGTTATCTAGCTTTATGTGAACTTGTTATCTCCATTTGAAAACTGTGAATCAACCACTTTAGCTAGGGATGGAACACTTGTATAAGTAAAAATTAATTAATGCTTCTAGGAAATAGAGTGAACTAGATAAAGTTTAACTAGTGAGTTTACTTTCCTATAAACCTTCTAATGGTGAATTGGCACTAGACATCATTCTTGAGAAAGTTTAGTCATTAATTCTAAGGATGAAACCGTGAATTAAGAGGTGGTGTGTATGAGTGCAATTGATTTTATCCCTCTACGTATTATGTGTGTAATGTTTGTCAATTTGAATAGTATGCATTGATGTGGTTATTTTGTGATTATTTCGGACATGTTTAAGAACGATCTCTGATTGTATTGATTTACTTTCTTGTTTTGATAGAATTAAATATTTGAAAATTCAATTAATACCAAGTACTTGCAAAAATAGAATGCATGTAATTGAAACTCTTGCTTGCTTAATTCTCTGTTTGAAAGAATAATACATAGGTACTGTTGTGCAGATGAAAATGGCTTGATTGAGAATGTTAAACGATAATGGTGTAATTGTATGCAATTGTATTGTGTAGACTAAGTTTCAAATTTCACCAAGAATGTTTAAACTTATAAGAATTTTGTGTAGCT